TCATTTTATGGCTCCATTCGATGAGACTAGATCTAGTTGACGCGATGAATCGTCCTCCATGGATTACAGCGCGTTTCGCATAACGGCATAGAAACGAAAAATCCATGTTCATTGTGAGTCAACAATTAAATACATATCGATCCCGTTTGTCAGTCGAGCTCGTTTTGTACCTTTTTTTTTCTTTCCTCTGACTTGTGTTTCTGTGTCCCCCCCCTCTCTTGCTCTCTCTCACTCTTTTCACATTTTCGTGAGATGCGCATAATACGATCGCACGTGTCATGAAAGGAAACATTGTGAAACAAGACGATTATTCACAAATAACTCTTTCGCGAGCTTGTTTTTGTAATCTCAATCATGTATATAGTTTAGATAGATAACTGCTGTCTTTATCTATAACGTATATTTAAAAGTTTAGGTAATAAGAAGGAAAAATGTATATAACAAGTAAAAAAAATTTTTTCCGAATTTAGAAAAATTTGTTATAATGATAAGTAGAAATAAGAGGATACAATACAAATATCTATATACATATACATAGAATAATACAGTCTACTTTTTGTATTAAAAGAATATAATATAATCTTTGCGAGATTAATTATAAATAAACCAAGTCTCTACACTTGATAATTTCACATCTAGATAATCCTTGAGATATATTTGATGATCTATGCAGATGGGCAGTGATTTTAGAGATCAATTGGTCTCTGTGCAAGTTAAGGCTAACTCAAGTGCAGAGATATTGCTCTATCAATTATCCTTGGAATAGTTTGCTGGATAACAAGGTTTCTGTGTGTTGAAGATGGCTCGGTAATCGTCTTATCACTTTAATGGATTATCAGAAGCATCCTTCTAGCAATATGAGTATGTCGTTTGATAGGGTAATACTCTTTTGTACGTGAATAATTGCATATTTTTTTATACACACACACACGCGCGCGCGCGCATTTATATAAAAAAAATATATGCATATATATTTGACATGCCTTAAAAAGAGAGGAGAGAGTACATTTAAAAAAATAATGTAAATTTCTTATATTTTATTTTGATTTTTAAAAATTTATTTATTTTTGGAATTTTCTTTTTTATTTAATTAATATTTTTCGTCATTTTTAGAAGGATTTGAGCTTGCAAATGTAATCACACACTATGTCGAGGTGTGGCTTTGAAGATCGATACTTGTGTTAGTTCTCTCTCTTTCTCTTTTCTTCCTTTCTCTGCCTCCCTTTCTCTTTCTCTCTTTTTCTCTTTTTCTCTCCTTTTTCTTTCCTTCTCTCTTACCATCATTATCGTTCTATCAATTTTTTCCATTATCGCTGTATTAAAAAAAGTCATGCGTATTTATGTAATATTCTATTTCTCAAAATGATCAAAGCTTCTTAAAGTATAAAATTGTTAATGAATTTTTCCAAATCTTTGATTCTTTCTTTGCAGAGGGTTGCAAAATGTTTTTATAAAAATATCAACTTTTTCAAGTAAAAACTCTTCTGTCAATAATATTCGCTTTAATATTTGAACTCGTTTTTCTGGACATATCTTGTAAAATCGAAGAAGGGAGATCACAGAGTGAAAAGATGGATTCCGATCCCCTTTTCTCCAGTCCTCTCTTCTCATAGTCCCGCGAATCATTTGAAAAGGCTGCAGATGGAAAGATGATATTCACGTGAACTTAGAACACGCAGTACTTCAACTCGTAGCTCGCAATCAATATCGAAATACTATTCTTTGAATCGATATAACGATGGAAAATATTTATTTGCAAATTAAACGCGAAATTGGATATGAGTGTGTGAAAAATGTGAAAATAACTATAAAAAGAAATTGGTAAAAGAGAATTATAAGCGAAATGGTATAATATTGTATAGAATTAGATGTATTATGTAATTAAAGTATGAATTGTTTATAATTAAAGAGCAAAACGTAATGACTATCATTATATAAAATAATTTAAAAATTGTTTTTTTAATTATAGTAAAGATATAAATATCTTTTTTTGACATACACTTTGATAATGCTTATTTTAGTTTCTTCTTTTATCTCAGAACTCCGTTTAGGTTTTATTGAATTGAACGCGATATCAGAAAAAGAAAATATGAATCCGGTTCTTTATGACCTTTTGATTCTTCTAAAAATAAAAAGTGCGAGAGAAGTGTAAAGTTGTAGTCAACATAAACTTTAAGAACTTAAATGTGTCCCCTAACTGTTCGTTTAATATTAATTAAGTTTATCGTTTATTTATGTTGTTATGAAATTTGTTACGTTTCTTTTGCCGACGATAAGTACCTATACGTAAAATTTATAACAATGTATACACATGGCAAAAATGTCACGTATTTTAGATCATACCGGTTAGTCTTAATATATTTATATGCAATATCTACTAATTTATTAATTTTTTTATTTACTGGAATTCTTATGCTGAAATTTATTTTACGTTTCATCTTATTCATGAACGCTTATCGGATATAATGAAACTAGAAGACGCAAATCCATCATTAATGTCAATCGTATTAAAAGTATCGATCAAGGATCAGGAGTAATGGTGTTGTCTATTAATTACTGGTTTTCGTTTGCTGGCGAGATTTTGCGTCAAAGCGAATTATTGTATTAACGCTGTGCGTTAACTGTGAAATAATACTTCTGTCAAGAAAAGTTTTGCTCTCATTATGGCGGTATAGCAACCCAGTTCGTTGATCGATCTCGAAATAGGTACGCATAGAGGACAGCGCATTGCGGCGAAAATGTTGTCGGATAGGTAAGACAAATGAAACTATGTTAGTGAAGAATAGAGCAAATCGAATTTTCTTAAAATATTTTGGAAATAGTAATATTTCACTTGTATTAATTTTTTCATTATCTATTATAATTATTACATATTGCTGAGTAAATAGGAATGCAAGCTAAAATATCAATAAATTAGAAATTTAATTATTTGACTAAATTATTTTTTTCAACAGACATCACAAATTTAAGTCGTACAATTAGAAAAAGTTTCGAGTTTCCAATTTTACTAAAGTAGATACTAAATTTCTATTTTTTTGCTTATAGTTAGCATATGTTGCTATACAAAAGATATGAATGTCTTGTGTTTATACTCGAACCTCGTCGACAACTTTTGTAACAAAGAAAACTCGTGCATTCATTAAGAAGCCGAACTATATCTTGACATTTAGCACGTAAAATAGCGCCTCGGCGTCGTGGAAGATTTCTTCGTGTCATCCGACGCATATCAATCGAGAATGATTCTTGTTGTTGTATAATGAATGCAGAGAAAAACATGTCATTATATGAGTCATTAAATGACTTTTCGCTTATAAAAGAATAGGTCATGTCTTCGTTTAACTTTGATTAAGCTCGAAGCGGAAGCAAACTGCTTCTCGGATTAAAAGGGCGAGAGAAGAGTTCTTTCATTGACTTTAGTATACGTGTAGTAATCGTAGCAAATGCTGTTTAAACATTGTATAAACAATTTTCTCGTACTCGAAAATTGATCTCTGTTTTGTAGTCTTCGATTTGTCCAATATCCGTGTGAAAAACTATTTATTGCACGACATAAATCTACTATACACGATTCGTGGTTCACTCTATTTTAATTTGCCGTATTACAAAATTGATTACTCGCTCTCTTCTATGTTATAAGTTTTTAAATATATTTTTTATGCATTTAATAAAAAATTAATTAAAATAATGAACTAATAAAATTAGACGCAAAATAATTTTTTATTATTCTGTTTTTAATATGCGTAGCGATAAAATTAATGTTAAAAGAGAACATGATAGGATATTTTGAATATAATTGATAAATATATTTCTTTAACAATTACAGATAATTTATCTTATTTGTCGACTTTACTATGCGCATTTTCATTATCCACAATTTAATTGCATCTTATTCATGATAAACGTCATAGTAAGCGGCACTCTTTTTTACTTATATTCTTGCACATCCTTGAATCGAGTGGAGTTGAATCTAGTCGCTGTAAATCGAGTGCAATTGTTTGCCTAGTGCCGTGCGGACCATTAGGCAAGTTAATTGACGACAATCGTTCTTCAAGAAGGCGTCAGTTTGCATGACGATTATATTGTTCAGTAACAGTAAAGAGAATAATATCTGATGAGATAATGGCGTTACGTTTCTGTGTGATGATATTGGACTCAACGATTTCGGATATCACCAACATGTAGTATCGACTATCACGTTCATGAAATTTATATAACTTGTTAGGAATTGTCATTAAACTTATGGCATGCAAACTTGTAGAATTTAAACGGTGAAAGCTACAACTCGTTAGGAATTGTCATTAAGTTTATGGCACGCAAACTCATTGTTTAATGATATTGTCCTGCGGATTCAACGATTTCGAATATTACCGGCATGTAGCATCGATTATCACGTTCGTGAAACTTACATCTTGTTAGGAATTGTCATCAAGCTTATGGCACGCAAACTCGTGAAATTTAAACAGAGAAACCTTTACGATTATACACTCCGGTGTATAATCGTCGATAATCGCAATCTCGATCAGCATGAATTTCCACGTTCCAATTGTGAAAAGTTTGATCGGATGTGCGCAATGCGGCAATTCAAAACTTGCTGGTGCAAGATTTGAATATGTTAAAATATGTTATGAATAGAGGGAGAGAGAAAGAGAAGAAAAAGTAAATAAAATATGAAATACAAATAGACAGTAGACATATGTATATAGAATTATACATAATTATACACGTTACATTTGAAATATCCAAACTTTTTAAAAAATCTTGTTCGTTAAATAAATTTTATTGAATTTTAGCAAATAAAATCATGATAAATGAAGGAAAGTATAAAGTAGATACTAAAGAACAGCTTTCTCTATAACATAATAATATATTTCGTTTCTATCACTGGTCCTTTTATAGGATCCACTTAAAATACAAACGCCTAAATATAGGATTCATTTAAAATACAAAATTGTAATAAGTACTTTCACAAACTTGACGTCTTGTCATCCTCTCTGTTACAGTGAGATTACATGACAGTATACAAGAGGAGAATTTCCATTATCTTGTCTTTGATCTGTAAGTATACCAAATTGTTATTTCTGACTGTTAAATGTTAAATTAAACTTTTTTATGTGTTTCTTGTGTGTTCTCTTCGGTGAGATTAAATTGGTTGTTTTATAGAGTTCGAATGGTAGTAATTAAAATCTCGAATGATTGTAATGACGATGCACAATATTTATATAATTTATTTTAATGGCATTTCTAACGTTCAATGTTTTCAGAATTGTATCACTTGTCATTAATATAATAGTTAATCGATAGTTAATCAATTGTAAATCATATATGTGTGTCTTCATCTGATACGTAAAGAGAAGAAAGTATTGTAATCGGCGTTATTTATTTGTAAAAAATTACATTTATTATTTTATTTATATAGGAAGATGAAATATTATTATTTTAAAACAAAGTAATTCTAAAATTTACTATTTTCTCTAAAGACCGAAAATTTATATCTGTCTCTTTATTAAAAAAATTTTATATTTTCAATCCACGCAATCATGTTGGGAGCACTTGATGCGATTGAGCTGACAATAGACGCGATTCTCGAGTCATCGGTCTGTATTCAGAACGCGCTTGTAACAATGTTACAATGTTAACGCGCATTTAGCATACAATTTACATTACATATGCTGTACAGTTTCAGAAATAAAAGCGCGCATTTATCGATCAAAGCGCGTTCTGAATACGGGCCATCACGTTCATCTATTAGTCTCGACTCCACTAACAGGCTTCTAGCAGCGGCGCAATTCAACAACAGCGAGGCAATTCGTGAGCTCTAATTGCATCAAGTAGATACCAATCTGTGGCCTTTTAAAATCGTCAGCGATCTACGCAAGAGTCAAGAAAATATCGTGCCTAATTTAATTTCCGCGCGACCACTCCGTTACTTTTAGATTTGTAACGTTAATTTACCGTATATCATAAATCTCGTTTCTCCTTCTTGCCATGTGGCAACGATATGACTTTGCTACTTTGCCACGTCGCCTGCAATTAATCTACAGGTTACAGAGAGTTTAATTTCATCTATTCGTCTTTTGCTCAACTTTTTATTGACATGGCACGCCATTTTTGGTTTCGTCTGCCGAATTTTTAATATTCAATCAATTAATTACTTTTAATTCTGTGCACATACACACGATATGCAACAGTTCTTCCACCGTATTTTCTTTTTTAACGCAGAAATTTTCTTTCAACCGTCGATTCGTGTATAATTTTTTCTGACAAATTTTATTTATCATTCGGCTATAATGTAGGTTTGTTGCATTTTAATATAATAGCTATCTTTAAATACCTGTCTGACACTACCGTGTCTCCAGATAAGAGAAATCCTGCTACTTTTTGCACAACAAATTCGAATACGAACGGTATTGCGAAAACACGCTTACGTTGTATGAAGCATTTACGAAAATTCACGCTACTTTTATTTCCGGGGTTAAACGTCCCGCTACTTGATGATATTGCTTTACCACGCGATCTCGCGACGCGCTCGCGAAATGGAATTGAAACGTAAAACGCTTACAGAGTCACCGGCGGAGAACTGTTCGAGGACATCGTCGCCCGGGAATTCTACAGCGAGGCGGACGCCTCGCACTGTATTCAACAAATCCTGGAAAGCGTTCACCACTGCCACCATAACGGAGTTGTGCACCGGGATCTGAAAGTACGTAGAGAAAAAGGTTTTGGTCGCGAGTTTGGTGAGCGTGCTACGAGTTCGTAGGGCCGACGTTGAAATAAAACGAGCGAACACTTCCAGCGCGGTCTATCCTTCCACAATGCACTTCCCTCCAATGCTTCATCTACCTTTCGCGATTTCTATGGGATATATTATTTCCAGAAACTCTAAAATGTACGATAATAATAGAAGACGGTATTTCGCATCGTGTTCTCGATCAGAACTTAAAATTCACCGACATTTATCGGTTTTCAGAATTCAGTAACTCCCTAATTTAGAGTCACGTTTTCTATTAATTCCAACGAGGATATATATTCCGCCTATTTTAATGTCAATGAAATCATACGGAATGCTCGAATCTTACTCGAGTTTAATTCCAAAATTGAAATTTTGGTTAAAGAAGAGTTAATGAATATCGACTCGATGTCGAGCATTTAACGATGTCGACGGATCTGTGCCATTTTCTGTTGCAGCCCGAAAATTTACTCCTCGCGAGCAAGGCGAAAGGGGCGGCTGTGAAATTAGCAGATTTTGGTCTAGCGATCGAGGTGCAGGGTGAAGCGCAGGCATGGTATGGTAAGTTGACCTTACTTTTTTTCTGGTGAATTATAATCCGCTAAAACTTACACTTTGTCTTTACGCGTCGGTCTAGTTCTAACGATCGATGATCGAAGCGACCGTCGATCGAGCCATGCAAATAACTTGCAGAAATCTTCACAAGAAATTTCTTGCGGGAAGAAAAGCGTGTGTCATTTCACAATTCTTTCATGATATTTAACTTTTGTTCGATAACGCGAATGTTCGATCTTTTTTTTTGCAATCGGACAAAAGGACCATTATGAAAACTAGTTGTCCACAAAAGTCAGAACAGAAATATAAAAGAATGATACATTGCGTTGAGACTTTCAGCGAGTTGAGAGATCGAACAATTTCTTTAATATAAGCAAAATAATAGGATTTGCGAAATACCATGGCTCAAGTTGCGAATTTATCCGACACTGTAATTTACAATTGAAACGTAGTTTTCGTTCTCCGTAGTCTTCGTTCAAATATCGTCGCTATACAGTTACAACTTGCATCTATATTTTCTCCGTATCATGTAACATATTATTTTCTTATGGTAACACGTTAGCATTAGCGTATTGCAAGAAATGTCAATGATATATCGAAAAATTATTGCAAACTTATTCTAATAGAGAAACACTATTATATTATTCATATTATATTATTCAGATTTTTTCATTAAAGAACAATTTTAGAAAAAACTTTACTTTTTTTTACTATAGAAGACTATCTTTCTCACACTTTATTTTATTTCTTCTTTGCGGTTTTTTTCACATATTTCCTTCGAATATCTTTTTTTAACATATGTATATCTCTCTGTCAATATTCGCTCCAGTGAGAAAAGCAAAAAAAAGATATTGACTAGAGGCAGTCTTATTGTTAAAATACATATATTTTTCGAAGAATTTCGGTATACTTAATTTTAAAATCCTAAACCTGTTCTTGTAAACTATTTCGCGCTACTGCTCGCACCAGCTGTGCGAGCCGTGAACTTGAATCTTTCTGTCTACTTTGTGCCTTGTCCATTTGATTTACATACATTGTGCACTCAGATGTCTATACGAGCCAGCATATTTGCGTACCAGCCAGCTGGCTACTCGTTTTGTTCTTCTTTATGCAAAAATACGCGTGGGGAAAATTTTCCGATAGCACGGTGAATTCTTCTGCGCATGCAGGCACTTCCATAAAGAAACTTCTGCTTGATTTTACATTCCTTATCGAATTCGAAAACAATCTTGCGGGAAATTTTGTCTCAAACGTTTATTTGTCGTGTGTATCTTCTGTGATATTTAATGTCAAATATCTTAAACATTTACATATAACACTCATCACTTAAATTCATGTTAATATTTACATCATGATTTAATTACTTTAGATTATTAAGTGCCGAATTATTAAGTGCTTGAAATTTTTACTTTATTATTTTAAAATAGTACGGAATAATGTTTTTGAAACACTTCGTTTATCCCGATGGACCAGATACAATTCCATGTCCTAGCAATACTTTTTACTTCTCACTTTTATCGACGCAATTAATTTTTTTTCTCGACGTGATGCTGAAAACATACATGCACTGTAAATTCATCAAATTTATATCAAAAATTATTAATATCATTCCACGCATAGAAATTACATAGCTTGGCAAGGCAATTAAAGTGCAAAAGAATAAAAGACGCAAAAATGGATAGTTTAATACAATTGAAACATATTGTTCAAAAAATCAATATTTATTTAATTACAGTTTTGTACAGAGCGAGTGTTTATTGAATAAATGAAATATATATAAATGGTGAAGATTAAAATGTTCAATTCAAAAGAAATGTCACTATAGTTCTTGCAAGCAGATTTCTCTGTACACTTATAATCTTGACGGCATCCGTAATCGTATTATTTGTTTTTCGAGAAATTTACTAAATATTTGCGAAAATATTTTTAGCGAATGGTTAACAAAATAATACCAGCCAAGCGTTGAGCCAAAGAGTTCAACGCGATCATTGACAGAATATTTCCGAGGGCAACCATAGACGACCTAATTGCGCAATTGTGCTTTTGTTGCGTCAAAGCACGACTGCATTTTGGCTACAATCACAACAGTTATACAACAACGGTGTATGCTTATTGAAAATTACACGTGGCAAAGCGCGACAAAATCACCAATGTAAAATTTAAAAAATATACTGATCGAGTTCTCGCGATAGCACGTAATTGCCCCAGTTACGTTTTTCACGTGTCATTAATAGCAAAAATTTTACTGCCTTTTATTTTTTTTCACTATTATTATTTATATAGTTTTTAATACACATTGTTTAAAGGAATAAATTTTGCGTACCGTAAAATAAATATTTACTAGCTTTTCTAGCCACAAATCTAATATCTAATCAACGATTAGCGTAAAAATCTGTAATTTATTTGTTACTATATATTTGTTACTATAGACACTATCTCGCGTAGAAATGCTTTTTTTGACAAATTATAGTGATTATTAATTTATTGCACAAATTATTTAAATATACATATTTTAATGAAAACTGATACACAACAACATGCATCGCCATCGATCTAAATTACCAATATTATAATATAAGAATGTCAATTTCACCTTTTCAAAATTTTCCAACTAATTTATTAATAAATCCACAATGAAACACACAAAAACGTAATAAAAGTTTACGAGCGACTGTCGTGTTTGCTTTCCAAATAAGGAGAATTAATTGAGATGAGTGGTAATACTCGGTACGTGATTTCGCGCACGTAACGCCCTGATCCCTTCGATCCTTCGTACGGCGTGGTCGTGTCCTTCAAAATTGAATGAATTCAAATGATTGATAAAAAGGTTTCGCTGGAACGCCCGGCTATCTCAGTCCGGAGGTGCTGAAGAAGGAGCCATACGGAAAACCAGTCGACATATGGGCGTGCGGTGTCATACTGTACATTCTCCTGGTCGGTTATCCGCCCTTTTGGGACGAGGATCAGCATCGGCTCTATGGACAGATCAAGGCCGGATCGTACGATGTATGTATACGATTTATTTAGCTTCTTTTAGCTTTCTATACCAACATTTGCACAACTTGAAGAAAAACGATACGTTAAAAAAATAATTTATTGAAAAAATTCTATATATTAAATTTATTGAGAACAACACTTTCTGTCGATTTTTTACATTTACTTGTGTAATTATCTCATTATCTGTATATAAAGAATTATAACTAACGTTTTTACGTTTGTTTCGTGTATAGTATCCGAGTCCAGAATGGGACACCGTCACGCCGGAAGCCAAGAACCTTATCAATCAGATGCTGACGGTGAATCCAGGAAAGAGGATCACTGCCAGCGAGGCACTGAAGCATCCATGGATCTGCGTAAGTTTATCTTATCGAGGCAAACAATTTCGTTCAAATTTATATTACACGTTTACATAATTCAGAGAATAACTTAATCATATTAGAATATTAGATCGTATCATGTTAGATTACTAGCAAAGAGATCTTATTGCACTCGAGTATTGCATTTCTACATCTATGTGATACTACGTAATGTATCGTACGTCACATGTATATATGCAATTTAATACATTAAAATATGATAGTTATTTAAATTGGATAGATGAAAAATGTATATAGATTGATAAAATAACGAGATATACATATATACTTCTATCGATAATAATAACACAAATCAAATGGACAACAACCGTTTGTTTTTTATATTCTCAAGCAATATTATTATTCATGTTGACATAGCTTGTCTCTTTTCTGTATAGAATTTTGTTTTTAGCGAAACGCGTGCGAACTTAAGATTTAATCTCGAGTAACTTGAATCATTCTCTTTGAACGATGCCTGATATCGTCTCCTGTTTACTTTGTGTTTCAGCAACGTGAGCGTGTTGCATCTGTGGTGCATAGACAAGAGACCGTGGATTGCTTGAAGAAATTCAATGCAAGGCGCAAGTTAAAGGTGAGTTTCTCACTCAAAAGTTTTGTCCTATGTATACGTTTATTTAATATGATTACGTATCATTGCCTTAAATTTCACTGTATCTGCCTGACAATTATACGATTTCGGAATTTTCCATTATAAATTCGTGGTTTGTTATTTAAATGGCTCGGCTATTTCAAAAAACCAGTTACTGGGCAATAAATAAAAATACATTTCTCTATTTTTACGTGAAACAATAAAATTTTAAATAAAAACTGAGACTTTTCATGGATATACGTTTACGTCAATTTAAGTGTTTAAAAATATAAAATACACTTTATACTCATTCGGATAAACAATCGTTTTGTTATCTTCCGTAATTTTACCGTTTCCAATGTTACATTTGTCTTAATTAGTAATCGGATTGTATTTAATCCAAATAATCGTTAAATCATGAGATAAATGGAAATTGAAATTCGCAAGAGGTTCATTTCGGGAAATATATATAGGTATAGGAATATTGTACAGGTATAGGGGAGAGGGAGAATGGTATAGGTACGAATATAGGCTTTTATGAGAGAGTTGTCGAGAGATTTGTCGAAATTTGTTTGATTCGCGATTATCAATTGCTAATTTTATAGTTCACGGAAATGTATGACGGTAATCGCGCCGTAAATTCTCATTCTCGCCTGCCGCAAAATCTCATATATTAGCTCCGGCCATTTACAAATGCAAATTCCATTATGTCCGCTTATCACATTGCGGTCTGGATTGCGTCCGTGCAGAGCTGCGGATGTTAGTAACATCTGTAAAATTAGAACGTCATGACGCATCGTGGCCGGAGGTATTGTAAATTCTTATCAATTCTTTCTCGGGAGGCATCGTCGAATGAGTCAATTTCGTGAAATATACATTGTATAGCATTTCAAGAAATCTGCTAAACTTGTTAAAACGTAAATTATGTATGTGAAAAATATCTCGAAGAAGAAAAAATTTTGTATACATAAATTTTATTTTTTGCAATAACATAGTTCTGTGTAACACAGTTCTACGTAATTCTTTTTTATTGATAAATAATTAATAAAAATTGTAACTTTTATATCTATTTACGGTCATAAAATTGTAGTATACTAACCTTTCAATATTAAAACAACCGACATTTCGAGTGATTTATGATTTAGAGAAGTAATTGAAAAGTGAAAAAAATTAGTGAAGAATTTGGAAAATTTTTAAAGCAAAATGATAAGCTGTCGATTCGATCAAGGATCGATGACGTCTCCCTACCTAGTCGTTCCTACGGTACTGTTCGACAAGTCACTGACGATTAAACGATGGCACGCATCGAGCAGTACGACTCCACTTGTCGTTGCAATCGCTGCACTCTTGACGCGGTGTACGAGAGCAGAGAGTGCCGCTTTTGTATCAGAGCCACGTGTGTTATAACGTTCGTTCGCTGTTATCGGAATGCGTCGAAAACTTGAGGCATGTGCGAGGACAACGCGTATCCCTGTCAAAGGATTTCGATTTAATTGACTGTGAAACAGAATACAAGAAACTCCGCGAAACATTAAACATTTGTAAAGATGGACATCGGGAAGAACTTGAAAAATTCAATTATCTCTTAAATTTCATTTGATTTCATTGATTTTGTCGAGAATTAGCGTATAAGTGAGCAGTGCGATTTATAATATTTTTTTTCAGTACAATTAATTGTAATTCTTGTTCTGACGATTATATAGTTGATGACATTTACAAATTTTTTTTAGATACAGAATTTCGCAAACGCGAACTCTAATAACTTTTTATAATACATATATTTATTTTAACCCGGCGCAATATGATCCGAGACATTTTTAAACATCTGTATTTTCTTACATACTTTGTAGATTGTAATTAACCGCCCGGTAACTTGAGCTAAGACTTTCTAAAACCATTGTTGACATTGCAAGAATAGACCAAAAAAATATATGATAGGGTTATCATGATTCACTTCAACGTCCGTGTAACATTTTAGCACCACAATGACTCCGGGTTAATTGTCACTGTAATTTACTCCTTTAAATTATTATTATATGTATTTTTTGTCTCTACGCCAAAGTTTTTATCATTTAAATTTTCGTATATTGTATTTGTATGTTGAGCTAGAAGTTTTAAAGGAAAATGTATCTCAAATTTCATATTTTATCAAAATTACGCGGATTTTAATTAATTTTAATGTTCATAAAAATATTATATATTAATCCAATTGTCTTTATTAAATGTGGATCATAAAGATTCATATACCATTTGCTTTTTTAATGTAAAACTACGCTTAGTTGACTACAGCAATGTTTATTTAATTGGAACATTGGTTAGGTTGGTCTGTAAGAATTATATTACGAGTGTAAGTTACGAGCAGAATCGGATACGCAATTTCGACCTATTTCTTCATGCTTACAGTCTCAATTGAACGATATAATCACGACAACACTCGTAGTAGTCGTTCAATGTCCGAACAAAGCGCAAAGAAAACGTTTCATTATTTGATATGAACGACGACGTATGAACGGTTATTAAACGTCCAACAATAATGGCTCGCAATCGCGATTACACAACACGTGCACAAGTCTTATCGTTTATGTGCTTAATATCGTACATATAGTTACTATGGTTAATATGGTAACATACGTAATATGGTTATACAATTCAATAGCGTTAATAATATCGGGAATAAAGTATGTTTCTTTGTAAACGAGGAAAAAAGTATTGGCTTTTATAGAAAGATATTGATGTTTCAATATTAGAAAAATCTCATTATGTATATTATTTTGTAAAAATTTAATTAAATAATTTTTTTATGCATGTGGGTGTGTCGGTCGAATATTATTTTTGATATAAAATAATGAAGAGATATTAGGTATTACATTTGCCAAAACTATAAATTGTAATTTCGTATACCAAATGGATTTTAATGTCGTTGGAAAACAATATTACTATAATGTTTAATAGATAATTTTCATGCGTTCAGATGAAAATAATGCATTTCGAAACCGGGTCGAATCACATTAAAACTTGCTTCTCTCGCGAATGTATGTACTTGATATCGTTATCTTAATAACAGTCGACGACAGCAAGCGCGTAAAATCGATCAAGTTCATGTTCCTCTATACTCTTGCGTGACGTAATTATAATTGGGTACCTAGGTTAATTATATATAACATTTATTCAGTCACGACGATCATATTTTTTGCGCGAGGTTGCCTCTGTGAGAATCAAATATCACGGCAAACCAATTATCAAGCTCTTCCATAATGAAATGAATGAGTGGCTGGTAACTTCATAAGTATTTGAAAATTGTAATTTCAATAATACTACCAATAATATCTTGTTTCTTTTTAATTTTTTCATTTATAATTGTTTATTTATATTCTATAAAATAATAAAGACAAAATATAATTTTGAAAATAAATACTTCTTTTTTATATTAATTGGTAAAAAATTATTTCGTTGTTGATCGGTGAAATCGATGTGCAATCATATAATAATGATAGAATTATCTCTTGTTTTACATGGCGTGATAAAGATAGAAAAGTTTTTTCCTCGTGATTTTAGCGCAACAATAATGATTGGATTTTGTCAAAATTATGCAATAACAATAGATAAATCCATGTTTATATAAAACAGTATAATTAGAAAATTTTGTAATTTATATTATAATTTACATTACTTGACTTGGAAAAATTGATATTGCGGTTTCTCTTTTGTCACAAAAGACAAATTACCTTATAATTATCAATTTATATTCATTACTAGAGACTCAATGAATTTTGAGACACGAGGTCTTGCTCTTCTATCGTGTTTCTTCCAGTTTTATATCGAAATCATAGTAGGGAACTCGCGTTAGAGACAAGTAATCAGTCAAGCACATAGACATGACAGGGACGTCGAAGCAAACCAGCTGAATACTGATTAAATCCTGACTCATAAAAGTGCAAATGCCCAGTGAGGAAGTTTAATGACACCCTCCGCTTGTTCGTTCGTTTGTTCTCGCGCAGATTGAGACATGTAAGCACTGAGGAATAAATTTATGTTGTATAGACAATAGGAGGCAACCGTGTCCGAGGTAATGAAATTTTAATCACTGTCAGTTTGACATCTGGCAACATGCTATCATTCGCCTCAGCGTTAGGTACGGTGAAAGTATAACGAATATCGATAATACGACATTTTCACGATATTTATATTGTGTTTGTTATATACAGGATGACATAGAATTATTTAGGACTGCGAAACATTTTGTGTATTAAGTATAACAACGTCCATCGATTTACACAGGTCGAATGATTTTCAATTAGCGTTCTCTGTTACTCTATATATTTCTAAAAGTAATAATACGGATAGAGATTGATGTAGATCAAACGATGAAAGGAGAGAAATGTTTCAGTTTTTGTGTGAAAACGCTTTTATATTGTATTATGACAAAAACGGAATATCCGTTTTAATATGGAATAGTTTGGTAAAACAAAAAGTAAAAATTAATTGTTTTACCTTTCCTCTAAAAGAATTACTATTTGTTTTTAATTCAATTATTGATATATTATTATTCTTCGTCGTAATATTCTTAATTAATGTAAACGCATTAAAAAGTGTGTGACCAATTATGCGCAAATTCATATATAGGGGAGAAAAGTAACACGGGACAATAGTAACATCGTCAATATTTCTTAAACTATAACAGATATATGTATTAAGTATTAAACTTAATTCCTATCGCTCGCTACTAGAGGGCTCTGCCTCCAACGCTGACGAGTTTCGACGATGAAGTCACATGTCTTTTGTAGTTTAGACAT